ACAGACACACACACACACACACACACATACATACACATACAATTAAAAATACACAATGAAGAGTAAAAATGGGACAATAATGTCTAGGCCCACTTGTTGTACCTGAACAATTACAGGTGACTTCCGGGCTGTTTAGTTGCTCCCATTTTGCCAGTTTACTAATATTTTCCTTTCTACTCATTAATATGAGTAAATCACTGTTGCATCAAATTGTATTTAGGTATGATGTTACCAATAAACCACAGTGACTATACTAAAAACTAAACTAAAAGACACACTCTCTCTCACACACACACACACACAGGTTTGTTTTTGTGAAAAGTGGGGACATCCCATAGGTGTAATGGTTTTTATACTGTACAGACCGTATATTCTATTGCCCTACACCAACCCTACCCCTAAACCTACCCCTCACAGGAAACTTTGTGCTATTTCAGATTTTCAATACACTCCATTCTGTGTGATTTATAAGCGTTTTGAAAAGTGGGGACATGGGGTAATGTCCTGAAAAGTCACCTTCTCCTTGTAATACCTATGTCATACCTTTGTCATTATACAAATTTATGTCCTCATTTGTCACAAAAATGCGCGCACACACACACACACAGACGGTTTAAAGGAATAGAGGTGTGTGTGATCAGCATATTTCCAGCAGCAGGACGGATCTCAGAGCTCTTTAAACAGCTGATGGGAACATCACTGGCGTCTGTCTCAGCACAATCGTTTGAAATGCTCCCCTTTAGATGAGTTCTGTGTCTGTGTGCTGGATTTACCACATACGTTTTCACAAGTTTTTCTGTCTTTTCGTGTCATTTTTTTTTCAGCGTTTGTGTTTTATTGTGTATTCCAGTGTAATTTATGGAGTCATTGCAGGTTGTTTGACTTTCTGTAGAGTATAATCCTCCCATGATGCATTGCAGATGACATTCCCTTTAGATGAGTTCTGTGTCTGTGTGCTGGATTTACCACATACGTTTTCACAAGTTTTTCTGTCTTTTCGTGTCATTTTTTTTCAGCGTTCATGTGTTTTATTGTGTATTCCAGTGTAATTTATGGAGTCATTGCAGGTTGTTTGACTTTCTGTAGAGTATAATCCTCCCATGATGCATTGCAGATGACATAGAGTCGAATACACTTTCAAACTACTGGTGTATATCAGAATATTTTGCAATAAACTTCAATTACTGTTGTACCGTTCAATCAAATGTTTGGTCTTGGTACAATTGTTTTTTTGTTTTTTTTAAAGAAATTAATACTTTTATTCAGCAAGGATGCATTAAATTGCTCATAAGTAACAATAAAAAACATTTATAATGTTATAAAATATTTATATTTTTTTATGAATTGTTCTTTTGAGCTTTCTGTTCATAAAAAAATCCAGAAAAATAAAATGTATCGTGGTTTCTACAAAAATATGAAGCAGTGCAACTGTTTTCAACATTGATAATAATAATAATAATAATAATAATAAATGTATCTTGAGCAGCAAATCAGCATATTAGAATGATTTCTGAAGGATCATGTGACACTGAAGACTGGAGTAATGATGCTGAAAATTCAGCTTTGATCACAGGAATAAATTACATTTTACAATATATTCAAATATTTAAAATTGTGATATTTCACAATTTTTTACAGTATTTACAATCAAATAAATGCAGCCTTGTTCCGCAGAAGAATCTTCTTTCAAACGCATTAAAAAAATCTTACCCACCCCAAACTTGATTCAGTTACATCATTGACAGTCCTTCATGGGATGCAAAGTTCTTCTTCCAGTATTTCTATACTGTTATACTGACAGAATAAACTGCACACTTAATTTCGTTCATATTCACACACGCTGGTTTTATCAGCAGCGTACAGTCAGGATTGTGAGGTCTGTGTGAGTGATGGGTCTCAACTCTCTGTCTGCAAACATCCATCCGTCATCCATCACTTTTCCCCTCCGCCTGTGTCATTTATCATCTGATCAGAGAGAGAGAGAGCAAAGGAAGGAAGGCACATGCAGAGTGGAGGTGGAGGGGAAATTGGACGTCGATTTGAAAGATTCTCCAAACTACCTGAAATGTTTTTCATCATCTTCTGTGCCATCAGCTGAATCAGAGTGTCACGACACGTTGTTGGGTGATTCTGTAATTGTAGGTACTTTTGGTGTCAAAAGTCATTATCATATTTTTTTTATCCATGACAATGAGTGTAAATATATATACAGTGGGTACGGAAAGTATTCAGACCCCCTTGACAAACAAATCTTGATACATAAAGTGGTACAGTAAAAGATGTTTAAAATTGGATTTCATTTGACCATTAGACTGTGTATCAAGCCAAGCCACATTATTACATTTTATGTACTTTTGAAAATGCCAGAGAAACACCATTTTAAATCATGGCTATGGGAACAATGCTAAACTGGATACAAACGTGTTATGGAAGTGTCATGTTATCAGTGGCGGCTCGTAGGTATTTTATTAACATTAAATCATCCTCCCATTTTCATCTCAAAATTTTGGGGAAGCTGTGCCTCCACTGCCTCCCCCGACGAGCCGCCACTGCATGTTATTCAAGATGGAAAGAAAAGCGTCAATAAGTAACGGACTACTAAATAACTGGATTCAACCTCATGATAAACATGCGAGTTTGTTTGTAAAAAGGGATAGTTCACCCAAAAATGAAAATTAGCCCATTATTTACTCACCCTCAAGCCATCCTAGGCGTATATGACTTCCTTCTTTCAGATGAATCCAATCGGCGTTATATTAAAAATTGTCTTTGATCTTCCAAGCTGTTTAATGGCAGTTAGTGGGTGTTGCAGTTCATCAATCCAAAAGAAGTGAAATAAAGAGCATCCATCCATAATAAAAAGTGCCTCACACACTCCGGGGAGTGAACAAAGGCCTCCTGTAGCGAGTTGATGTGTTTTTGTAAGAAAATATCCATATTCAAAACGTAATAATCACTTTAATCTAGCTTGCGCCAACAGTTGTACACGGAATACAACTGTATGATTAAAATTAATATTTGAAAAAATTATGACTTTGGACACCAAATGTGCCTGCATTTATAGAATCACCCTATTGTTGAAGTGTAGATTTGATCCCCAGGTATGTCTGTGTCTCTGTCTCATTCTAGTCTCGTGTGGTGGCCTGTATGACGGCCATTCTCAGTCAGATGGATGACAGACACTATTCACGCTACATAGAGACCTTCAGCGGAACCACAGATCTAGTGGTGAGACACTGTCTGTCTGTCTATCACCCTATATAGCTATTATTCTTTCGATCAGTCTGTCATTTGTTCTATTGATCATTTGTTCTTTCTATTGTTCAGTTGTTCATTCTGTCTATCTTTCTACTGTATCTAGCCATTGTCCATCCATTCATCATTCTATAGTTCTGTCTATCTATCATTCTATATATTGTTCTATTGTTCTATATATTTTACGTTCTGTCTGTCTGTCTGTCTGTCATCTATATGTCTGTCTCTCTGTCTCTCTGTCTGTCTGTCTCCCTCTATCTATCTGTCTGTCTGTCTGCTTGCCTGTCTCCCTCTATCTGTCTGTCTGTCTGTTTGTCTCCCTCCCTCTATCTGTCTGTCTGTCTGTCTCCCTCTATCTGTCTGTCTGTCTGTCTGTCTCTCTGTCTGTCTGCCTGTCTCCCTCTATCTGTCTGTCTGTCTCCCTCTATCTGTCTGTCTGTCTGTCTCTCTGTCTGTCTGTCTGTCTGCCTGTCTCCCTCTGTCTGTCTGTCTCCCTCTATCTGTCTCTCTGTCTGTCTCTCTGTCTCTCTGTCTGTCTGTCTGTCTCTGTCTCTCTGTCTGTCTCTCTGTCTCTCTGTCTGTCTGTCTCCCTCTATCTGTCTGTCTGTCTGTCTGTCTCTCTGTCTCTCTGTCTGTCTGCCTGTCTCCCTCTATCTGTCTGTCTGTCTGTCTGTCTGTCTCCCTCTATCTGTCTGTCTGTCTGTCTCTCTGTATCTCTGTCTGTCTGTCTGTCTCCCTCTATCTGTCTGTCTGTCTGTCTGTCAATCTGTCTGTCTGCCTGTCTCCCTCTATCTGTCTGTCTGTCTGTCTGTCTGTCTCCCTCTATCTGTCTGTCTGTCTGTCTCCCTCTATCTGTCTGTCTGTCTGCCTATCTATCTGTCTGTCTGTCTGTCTATCTATCTATCTATCTGTCTGTCTGTCTGTCTGTCTGTTGAATACAGCAGTTAACAATCTTGTGTTCGTGTTTTTGTAGGACTTTTTGATGGAGACATTTCTGTTGTTTAAGGATCTGATTGGTAAACATGTCTACCCATCTGACTGGGTCACTATGATCATGGTGCAAAACCGGTGAGAGCAAAGAAACATGAACACACGCACACACAGACAGACACAGTAGCTCTCCTGAGATGATCCACAGTAACATCATCCGTCAATCTCAAAGTCTTCAGCAGCACAAACACTGTGTTAACATTGATTACACTTCAAACAAGAGGCCAATGAGAGAGAAAGAGAGATTTATAGAGGAATAAACCTGCAGACTCAGAGACAGAGGAGAAAGAGAGAAACTTTATAGATTGCTGGTGTTTAGTTTGTGTTTTGTGTGTTACATCAGCAGCATGTTGTGTTTTATTGACCTCAGTATGTTTCCTGGAATTCAAATATCACAGTTTAAAGTTAATCTGTGACTCTGCTGATCATCAGATACTGTGAGCACAAACAGCAATTGGACACTTAAGAAACCCTTAAAAATCTTGTCTGATGGGAAATAATAAATCAGACGTTGTGAACAAAGCTGCACAAACTTGACACTTACACTTGACACTCACTTACTATGTTTACTACAAGCAAAACATTTGAGGTTTATATGATCTGATATTATAAAAGAATAGATCTGATGTTGAAAAAGAAGACATGCATTAAAAATTCAGCTGATTCAAAGACACTGAGACTCAATAATGATGAAGAAAAATGAGGTTAGTGAAAAGATCCTGCAACATTTGAGACACAGAAACGAACTCTTGATCTAATGAATGATGATCAGATATTTCTAAATGTGAATCAAGTATCCAGATATTTAGTTTGATATCATTTGTAGATGAATACATTTTGTTTCAAAAAACCCACTTTATGTTTGTCTTTGTGTTTTACTTTTATTAAGATTCAGTGTGTTTTTATGTTGTGGTGTTATTTTTGTATCATTGCGATATTATAGTTTTTATTAATATATGTTTTTTATTTATTGTTTTAATTTGAATTTTAATGCTTTAGTAATTTTGACTTGTTTTTCATTCATTTTTTATCAAGTGTTGTTTTTTGTCTATGTACAGTAGTTTTTTTAAATCATTTTTATTTCAGTTTTAAGTCATTTTAGTACATTTACATTTTTATATACTTGTATTTTTATTTTATAGATAAAGATAAAGAAAATGTCTTATAGTTTAAGTTTCAATTAACTATAATAGCCCTGGTATGTTCGTCCAATTTGTTCAGTATTTCTCTAGAATATTTCTATAATTCTGAAGACACATTTTTATTTTTTACATTTATTTATTTATCAGGTTTAGTTTTAGTTAATTATTTTAGTATTTCTATGTAAACTAAATGAAAATAAATGTTGCTTTGACAATTATGTTAAATTTTTTATATTTTATTTAGTTTCAGTTGATGTTTATTTTGTTTCAAGGACTGTTTTTTTTTTTTTTTTTTGATGTATTAAGTTTCAGTTAACTACAATAACCTTGGAATGTTCGTCCAATCAGGGTGTTTCTCCAGGCGATCAACACATACGCTGAGACCATGAATCACAAGTTCCTCGACAACAACAACTTTGAAGTGCAGGTCAGTCAGTGTGTGTGTGTGTGTGTGTGTGTGTGTGTGTGTGTCTTAAATGAGCTTGATCAAGTTCAGATTCAATTAGTGTTAATAGCCCTCATATCTCTCACCAAAGGTCATTTTATCATGATTTCTCTCTCTCTCCTGTAGTTATGGAATAATTACTTCCATTTGGCTGTGGCGTTTATTACCCAGGAGTCTTTGCAATTGCAGCATTTCTCTCCCACCAAAAGGAGCAAGATTTTGGCCAAGTGAGAAATATCCCAGTTAAACTCACAGATGAACCATATTTATTACAAAAATCTGGCTTTCACAACTATAGTAAAACAAAATATGCGTAAACATGCTTGCTTGCTTTCATTCAGATATGGAGATATGAGGAGGCTGATTGGTTTCGCTATCAGAGACATGTGGTACAAGCTCGGTAAGAATAAGATCTGTTTCATTCCCGGGATGGTGGGTCCCATCCTGGAGATGACTCTTATCCCGGAGGAAGAGCTACGGAGAGCAACCATCCCCATATTCTTTGACATGATGCAGTGTGAAGAAAACCACTCCGGACACTTCAGAAAGGTTCAGAGACACACACACATCTGTTTTTATATCATAGCCTCAACTTGACTTCTCTTGTTCTTAATATAAGCTAAACTCAACATTTTTACATGCAAATGACATGTTACAATTGACATTCCAAAACATGTATATACTGTCTACAGTTATGGGGTCTGAACATTCATTTTTATTATTTCATATTGTTCAAATAAATAAAATGGGCTTAAAATACTTTAAAACATTTTAATGGAACATTTTATTAAATATGTAGGTGGAATATTACTATACTTTTATGGAATAGATAAAAATGACAAGATATGTTAAAATATATTATATAAAAAACAATTGATGGAACATTAAGGATTTTGAGGAGTTAATTTAAACAAGGAAAAATGTGTTAAATATTTTTTTTAAATCTGGGATATTTCTATAATTCTGAGAAATGGATTTAAACATGGTAAAATGTGATAATTTTTTTTCCTAATATTTCCTGGACTGTTTCTGTATTTCAAGGAAATTGATTTAAACATGGTGAAATGGGTTAAAATATTTTATTGAATATTTCTATAATTTTAAGGAATTAATTTAAAGATGTAAAATGCATTTAAAAATATTTTTAAAAAATAGTTCCTGGAGTATTTCTATCATTTTACAAAATGGGTTAAAAGATGGTAAAACGTATTTAAAATATTAGGAAAATATATGCTTATTGAATATTTCCATAATTCTGAGGAATGGATTTAAACATGGAAAAATGTTTTTATGAAATGGTGAAAATCTGCTCAGACCTTAATAAAACTTTTAGCATGTTTAGGTTTGAAATAAGGCACATTTTTTTCCATTTATGGACCCTTTCCTTTTTGGGACGTCACAACAACTAGATCTTGCTATTCTATTAGTTATGCTTTTCAAAAAACAGAGAAAAAGCTGCCCACACACACAGAGTAGCAAATGCACATTGATATTGTTGAACTTATTAATGAAGTCTCTATCTCTGCCTCTCAGTTTGAGAACGAGATCATCCTGAAGTTGGATCATGAAGTGGAAGGGGGAGGAGGAGACGAGAGATATATGGAACTGCTACAGAGCATGTACGAACACACACACACACACTGAGGTCTTGTATAATGATGGCTTGACTCCATAAGAAGCTCCAAATCCTCCTGAAATCTCCTGAAAGCATGAGCTGTTCTGACTGTGTGCCGCTTCAGTCTTTTAGAGTGCGCTCAGGGACGCCCCCAGCTGCTGACTGAGGTGCAGCACTTTGTTACCCTGGTGACCGGCCTCCTGGAGCGTCTCCTTGACTACCGCTCGGTGATGAGCGAGGACAGTCGAAACAACCGCATGAGCTGCACTGTCAATCTTCTGGTAAGCCCCGCCCACTTCACACATCACAGACATAAAGTGGTTCTCTGATTGATCTGCTCAGATCGGTTTGAGTTGTCGGTCTGCTGATGCGCCCAAATGAAACATGTGTTCAACTAAACTTCTGAACCGACCTGTTAACTTACTTAGATTAATATTCTAGGCATAAAATCTGGAGGTTAAAAAGCAGATCCTGTCCATAATGAACAGTTATTCACTAAAACCATTAAAAATAAAGCTTGAAATAAATTGAAATAAAGCTGAAATGAAATGAAATATAAATGTTAGATGAAACACTTAAACGTGAAAAAAAAGAAATAAAGCTGAAATGAAATGAAATATAAATGTTAGATGAAACACTTAAACGTGAAAAAAGAGAAATGCTGCCTTGACAACTAAAATAACAAAAAATAAGTTAAAGTTCTAAAATGACTAAAAACAGAATAAAAAAATTAATTAAAGCTAAATAGAAATAATAAAAAGCAAAAAGTAATAAAATGTCAAAAGCACATAACAAAATTACTAAAACTAAAATTAAAATGAAAATTTAAAATCTAAAAATAAAAGTTAATGTAAAATATTAATAAATACTGTAAAAATTATAAATACACACGCTACCGGTTAAAAGTTTGGCATGATTGAGATTGTGTTATGTTTTTGAAAGACGTCTCTTTTGCTCACCATGACTGCATTTATTTGGTCAAAAAATACAGTAAAAACATTAAATATTATTACAATTTTAAATAATGGTTTTCTTTTGTAATATATTTTTAAAATATATTTTATTCCTGTGATGCAAAGCTGAATTTTCAGCAGCCATCACAGAAATAAATTACATTTTAAAATAGAAAATAGAAAAAATAGAAAATAGTTGTTTTAAATGGTTATAAATTATATTTCACAATATCTTTACTGTATTTTTTGATCAAACAAATGCAGCCAGGGTGAGCAAAAGAGACTTCTTTCAAAAACATAAAAAAAAAAAAAAAATCATAATTATTCCAAAGTAAAATAAATTATAATTTATGATACTTCATACATTTTTGGTGTTTGCTGAGGAAAGCTTCAATAATTCTGTTAAATAAACACCTGACTCTATTAAACTATTAAACTTCACAGTGTAACTCGTTACTCGTTAGTGCATAAGGAAGGATGTGCTCATTAAAATGTCCATATGGAAACATCAAGATGCAAATAAAAGTTCAAAATATGGATCAGCATATAAACTAGAATCAAAACACAATAACCAAATAAATTTCAAGATGCACATCAAAAATGCCCCCAAAAATGTCAAGTTTGTGCAGTTGATTCCAAATGGAGATTTCATGTGACTGAATAATTTACTCAACTTTGCTGTAAAATTTTGTCTGTGGCTCTAAACCACAAGTCATTTATTAGATTTAATAAAAGATCCACAATTTCTTCCCTAGATACAACTTCTATTTCTTTTTCTATTTTACACTTTTCCCAGTTTTGTTTCCTTGAGCACTTGGGATGGAAACGTTGCCTTGTTCACTTTTTATTCATTTCTATGCATAGTTTAAATTGATGGAAACACAGCTAATGAAGGACGGACCTGAGCATTTCAGGAAAAAAATAATAATGAAAACATTCAGAAGAGTTATTGTGAAGCGACTCCCACATGACCATATGTTTTAAATTTGAGTTCAGCCATCAAGTTCATTTTCTTGCAGTGATGAATTTGTCAGCTTTCATCCTCTTTAAATGATTCATACGCAAAGATCTAGGTAGAATATTTCCTCTAAATGAACACACAAACGCACACACACACACACACACACACACACACAGACAGTCAACAAATTAAAGCTTTAGTAATACAACAGGATCTCTATATTAACTCCTCTGCTCCATAAAATATTCATCTTTTTCTAATAATTCATTTGAGATTTGAGTTTCTTCTGCTTGTTTTCTGACTGTCGCCGCTGCAACTTTAATCTATCAGGGTGGAAATTACTTCAGTATATGAATAAACTATCACATTTAAAAGCTTGAGAAATCCATCATCATAATTTTGCACTACATTTCAGAAGCTCCCAAAAAACACACACTCATCTTCAGAGAAACATCAACACAGAGGCTCAAAGTTAACGTTTGCGTTTCATTGCTTTTTTTTAGAATTTCTACAAGGACATCAACCGTGAGGGGATGTACATCAGGTAATTTTCATATTAACTCTGTGTGTGCGACTGTGATTGTACGTGCTTGTGTGTGTATGTGTGTGTGTGTGTGTGTGTGTGTGTCGGTTGTGTAATCTGACAGGAGATTATCTTGGTCTTGCTGAATTAATGTCAAAATCCAAAGGATAAGCATCCAAGCATAGAGACGGACAGGACGGACTGAACGAGACACCGTCCATGTTGTTTGACATACTGCTACCTTACAGGCACATTAAACATAAATGAGTGTGTCTGCAGAGAGGCATTCTGCAGGGTAAAACATGACCGAGTTCTCTGATTGTCAGTGTTAGATGAATTAATGTGTCTCTGCTTCTGATTCAGATGTTTCTTATTGTCAGTAAACATGATCAAATTATGAGTCACGTCATGGAGAAACATTGATAATTCAGCTTTAATGAATGACAAACGGAGATCGTCTAGTTTATTTATAACCTCATTTTATTTTCGTCATGACCTTTGACTTGTGAAATGAGAGAGAAAGATCGAGATATTATGAAAATGACAATAATTATGAGACAATAATGTGAAATCATGATGCACATCAGTTCTGCACCAGTTTGTATCTATAATTTACCTACAGTAAGACTAATGAGCTTAATTCTTGATGGCTTGCTGGAAGAATAGAATAGACAAATGGGCAGATATGCATTAGTATGTATGTACTGTACTATATAATGTAATGTACAGTATAATACACAATAATCAGTACAGTACAATATCAATACAAATCAATGTAGGAATTGCTTATTGCATTTATTGATTTTTAAATTTAACAGTTAGTTTTGAAGATTTTTTTAAATGATCATATTTCTCTTAAAATACATTTCTAAGAGTAAAGCCATACTTCAGGGGGGTTTAGACTCTCTGCTTCATGTAGTACATACCTTAACACCCCTTAACCATGGTAAAAATCACTTTAACAACAGCCTTATGGCTTTATGTAATACTGCCTCCTTGTGGTAAATACGGAAACCATTTGTTATGATCTGAGAGAAGTGAATATTGAGACAGAAAAATTACACTACCAGTCAAATATTTTTGAACAGTAAGATTTTTTTAAAGAAGTCTCTTCTGCTGACCAAGCCTGCATTTATTCCATCCATAATACAGCAAAAGCGGTAATATTGTGAAATAGTTTTACCATTTAAAATAACTGCTTTCCATTGTAATATATTTTAAAATGTAATTTATTCCTGTGATGCAAGGCTAAATTTTCAGTATCATTACTCCAGTCTTCAGTGTCACATGATCCTTCAGAAATCATTATAATATGCTGATGAAAAAAAACATTTATTATTATTATTATGTTGAAAACAGCAGAGTAGAATTGTTCAATTTCTTAGAATGTTCTTTGCTTAAGAGTTCTTGTCATATTTTATTACCATTTTCTAAACTATAGCGAATAAACTGCGATAATGTGTGAAATGTTGAAGGTGTCTGAATAAATTTTGGTCTGACTTTATATATATATATAATTTTTTTTTACATACATATGCACATAATACATAAAAAAATATATTTTTAATTATTTTTAATATTTATAATATTTATTTTCTGTGATATATATTTTAATTATATATTACATAAATACATTATATATATATATATAATTTATATTTATTAATTGTAATTGTTGTGTGTGTTTCTAAGGTACCTCTACAAATTGCGGGATCTTCATTTGGATGGAGAAAACTACACAGAGGCGGCGTATACACTTCTGCTGCACTCCAAACTACTTAAGGTCAACAAATACACAGACATTTAGTTCTGTATCTTCATGAGGACTTCTGTTATTTTCTACTGAGCTAATTATATTTTTATCCACTAAACGTAATCCTCACAGAAACATTTTTGCATTTTTATATATTCATTAAAATATTATTAATCTTTGTCCTCATGGAGAATATATTTTCAAGGAATTTAGTATAATATGCATCTCATTAATAGATAAACAGGTAAACGGGAAGTGACATCCAGTTTTGGCTCATTTCAAGTTTGACTGTCTTTGAGGGGACATTTGGATTATTTGTATTTATTTTATTTCAATAATGAAAATAGGATTCCATTTCATGATTCCAATCAATGTTAACCCTGTTTATCTAATAATGAGATGTGTATTGCGCTACAATTCCTTGATTATTAGTTTCTAATTAATCATCTCATTGAGCATCACCTGGCAGTTTTTCATGGCCAAGAACCAGCTATGTTGTCTTAAGGGCATGTAATCATCTTGTTTAGACTGTTATGTGTTTGCAGTGGTCAGAGGAGCAGTGCACCCTTCAGCTGGACTATCAGACGCTTCAGTCCCAGCGGCAGCTCAAAGAAACGCTCTACAACACCATCATCAGCTACTTTGATAAGGGAAAGGTCAGCTCATCTTCACATGGACTGATTAATATTAAATAGCTGTGACTGGATGTTGAATACTGACCTCATGAATGTTTAACGGTTTATGTATGTGTGTGAACATGATTTTTGCGTGTCAGATGTGGGAGGAGGCCATCACTCTGTGTAAAGAGTTAGCAGATCAGTGCGAGATGGAGGTCTTCGATTACGAGCTGCTCGGACAAAAACTGGTAATACACAATACATTTCATAAAACTTCACAAACTCCTAATTTAAAATTATTTTGATCTATTTATCTTTACATTTTTGTTATCTTTCGTTTTCTATGAAGGTTTTGCACACTATTATATTCTTGATTTTTTTTCCCCCTATGTATATTTTTTTTAATTTAGTTTTCTTTTATTTTTATGCACTTTTGCATACATTTTATTGTTTGTTATAATATTCAATTTTTTTTATTTTTTATTTATGTTACGAACTCCCCTGTCTAGGATAGAGAAGGACCAGATGAAATTAAATAAAGAATTCAAATGAACTAGACAAACTGTACGTCTTCAGAGCCCCTGTCTCCTGTCCCAGCACTGATTCAACACCCGAACCATAAATTAAGCAAAAAAGATTTAAGGAACATAGGAAAAACAGTAACAAAGAAAACGGAAGATCTTACATGAAAGCAATTAAATTCAGGAGGGGGTAATGGCCAAAATAACAAACAAAAATAGGTCTAACTATTTTAATAAACTAAATAACCTAAACACAAAATAGCGATGCAAACAAAAGACAAAATTAAACCTACCTCCCTTACTACCTATAAACAGGAGAAAAAGTATATAAAACAAATGGCACGCACCTCCCTACAGCTACCTTAAATTAAAATATAAAGTATTGAGAAAATAGTGAAACAAAACATGAAACAACTTGCCCTGCACTCTGGGGTTCAATGAAAAGAGTCCTATAACAATCAACAACAAACAAAAAAAAATAAAGAATAACGGCAACCACACGTCTGCAACAGGCGCCAGGGACTCTTTGCAAGAGAGACGGCGGAAAAACCTCCCGCCCCTCAAGCACTGGAAAACTAGCCGGCTTTTATGGCAGGGCACACAGTCGCAAGAGCGAATCAGCAGAGGTTGACACTCAGGATCGCTGGTTAACAACAGGTGTTGCTACTTAACCTAGGAAAGCAGAAACAATAGAGACACACAACAGGCATACACAAGAATACCTACGATGACGTAACAATTTACTTTTATTATTTTTTTTCTTTTTGTCATTTTTTTACTTGTGTATTTTTATTATTTAGATTTCTTTTCATTTTCTTTACACTTTTGAAAATATCATATTATATTATATTATTATATTCTTGATTTTTTTTTAATTCTTTTTACTTTTTTGACCTATGTATATTTTTTTATTTAGTTTTCTTTTATTTTTATGCACTTTTGCATATATTTTATTTTATGTTATATTATTCAATACTTTTTATTTATTTACTTTTATTAAAAAAATTTTTTTTTGTCTTTTTTTACTTGTGTATTTTTATTATTTAGTTTTCTTTACATTTTCTTTACACTTTTGAAAATATATTATATTATATTATAATTACTTTTATTTTACTTACACACACTAAACTGTCCATATTTTAAAAGTCTTCTAGCATTATTTGGTCTTTTAGCTTTTTAGCGTTTTGTCTCTTCGTTTATTTCATCCGTTAATTCCTTTTGCAGAATCAGCAGGCCAAGTTTTATGAGAACATTATGAAGATCCTGCGGCCCAAGCCGGACTACTTCGCTGTGGGATATTACGGCTCTGGCTTCCCTCAGTTCCTCAGGGTCAGCATGTGTTTATTATTCTCAGTTAATGCTGGAACTGTATTACTAACAGATATGTAATGTAATCTAGATGATGATGTTTTGTTATATTTGATTTCAATAGAATAAGGTTTTCATTCACCGTGGGAAGGAGTACGAGCGCAGGGAAGACTTCCAGAGTCAGCTGATGAGTCAGTTTACCAGCGCTGTGAGACTCAACATCACCACAATGCCTGGAGACGACATTAAAAACTCCAACATGCAGTGTATCCGTCACATAGACTGTGTATTATATTATTTCACTTTTATTTTAAAGACACATACTTTCATATATGTGACCCTGGAGCACAAAAGCACTTAAGTCGCTGGGGTATATTTGTAGCAATAGCCAAAAATGCATTGTATGGGATTCTGGTATCCAGATTTTCAAATAGTTGTATCTCGGCCAAATATTGTCCTGTCCTAACAAACCATACATCAATGGAAAGCTTATTTATTCACTGGTTTAGTGGTCCAGGGTCACATATTTGAATATAAATGGTCGGTCTGTTGTTCTTAACCGGATCTGGATTAGATGTCCAGTGTTTTACAGTCCAGCCGGTTCTTGAGATCCCGCCGCGTCTGAGGAACAAACCAGTGCCTGATCAGATCATCAAGTCAGTCTGCAGAAAACACAAACCACGTTCATCTGTTCACCTTCAACACGCCTGGCTCTGTAGCCGTGTGTCATGATCTGATGCTGTAAACTCTTTCTCTTCTTTTCTTCTCTTGCTTCTTTCTGGTGATTCTGTAGTTTCTACAAGTCGAACTACGTTCAGCGGTTCCAGTACTCCAGACCTGTGAGGAGAGGGAAAGTGGATCCTGATAACGAGTTTGCTGTGAGTCAAAACACAGCATTCAGCTCTCATCGATCTCTACTGTTCATAAAGCTAATTAGAATGATTACATCCTAAAGATGCCTTTTCACTGTCTGTGACCTTCAGATGTACACAAATACATAACAGATTTACACATTTAATTGGAAAAGCCTTTAGTGATACATTTTCAACTTAATGTCAGTGCCAGCAAGCATTTAGAATCAAGTTAACTTGATAATTCTACTTTTGTGCACAAAGATTTAATTAGAATGCATCACATCTACCTGGACACTTGAACAATGTTTGAAAACGACAACACATCCAAAGCTCAAAATATGTTGCCAGATCTCACTAGTAAAACAAGCCGGTCTGTTCTGATCAAATAAGCTCCAAATAAGACGAAATAAATTACCCAGTCTGTGGTTTTTGGGTGTGTGGAGGCATTTATAGGTCAAGGAGAATTATTGGATTTTATTGAAATGATTTATTGCAGCATAGACTCATTCAAAGCACATTAAACGTGACTAAATTGCACCTTGCTGCAAAGAAAATGTAATTTCACTAATTATATTCCAAGGCTAATTACAGTATTCCACATATACAAGTGGCTGAAAGTATTGAATAAATCTGTCCAGTGTAATTTTAGTATTATTATAGCATTTATTAATTAATAATATAAATATATTAATTTTAGAAAATGTACATGCTTGTCATTTCTATTATTTTGTTTCTATTTAGCTTTTATTTATTATTTTAGTTTTAATTTGAGTGATTTTAGTGCTTCAACTTTAACTTCTTTAATTCAATAATGTTTATATAACCATATACATAGAACGGTGTTAATGTATTATTATTATTAATATTTTTAATATTTTCAATTTTCAATTTTCATACTAATTTAAGTTTGATTTCATGTGCTTTTGTCACTTTTATAAGTTTAGCTTTAATTTATAATCTGTTTTAGCTATAGTAATTTTAGTACTTCATCTTCAACTTATTTTATTTATAGTTTGTTGCTAATGCAATGTTTCTGAGCTTTATTTAAATTAACGGAAGTGATTTTTAATTGTTTAAGTTAATAACAACACTGAGTCTGTCACATAAACACTCACACATCTATGGGGAAGGAAAACTGTTCATCATTTATGCGTCATTGGGATCATGAAGGAGTTGAGAAAGACAGGAAGGAGACAAAAACTATGGCGATTAAATAATGACATTATTTTTTTATATGACGTGACATGTGGCCAAGTATGGTGACCCATACTTGGAATTAGTGCTCTGCATTTAACCCATCCAAAGTGCACACACACAGCAGTGAACACACACACACCATGAACACACACCCGGAGCAGTGGGCAGCCATTTATGCTGCGGCGCCCGGGGAGCAGTTGGGGGTTCGGTGTCTTGCTCAAGGGCACCTCAGTCGTGGTATTGAAGGTGGAAGAGAGCGCTGTACATTCACTACCCCCACCCACAATCTCTGCCGGTACGAGACTCGAACCCGCAATCTTTGGGTTACGAGTCCGACTCTCTAAACAATAGGCCACGACTTCCCACAATGTATGTTTATGTAGTGTGCAGTTTGAACAGCAAGTGGAGATATTTGACCATTTCTGTTAGTGATCAGTCACACTTCACTGTGCAATGAAGCCAAGCCCCTGAAAGCACAAAATATGGGACTGTATTTTAGGGGGGAAAAACCCCCCAAAACAAGTCACAACAACACTGAGCTCATGGATATCAATGTTTTCTGGTCAGGTTGAAGAGCTTTTGCCTTTCCAAATGCATTAAAACAATGACACACACAAACTCACTCATTAACGGACACTGTTCTCCTTAATGTCATGAGTTGACTGTCTTCTCACTCTTTTCTCTCTCTCCAGTCCATGTGGATTGAGCGCACCACATTCATAACCGCTTACAAACTACCAGGAATCCTGCGCTGGTTTGAGGCCACTAGCATGACCCACGTGAGTCTCCGTCCCCGTCAGTCACACTGAAATACATTGAAATACTTGTGTACTACGTACTGTGCAGTGTATACTGGATAGGACTTTTTAATCAGTGTGTTGGTATACATAACAGTAAACATAAAACCGTTTTATAGTTTTAAAATATATTTTTATACGATTTTTTGTTTCTATAATTGTATAGCTTTTTTTATTTTAGAGAAAATGTGCATTATGCGCATAATTTAAAAAAATACTGTAAAAAAAATAGTATGAGTACTATGTCAAGTCATAATTATTTATGTAGCACTTTTCACAACACATTGTTTTAAAGTAGCATTACAGAAAATCAAGATGTTAATGTTTATTAATCTTAATGTCTTCATGCCTTATGGTCGCATTTAACAGATCAGTGCTGGACTACATTTTGCAACAATATAAACAATAAAGCAGTTGAGATTTGCTATATGTGACCCTGGACAACAAAACCAGTCTTAAGTGGCAATTTTCAAAACTAAATAATCTTTCCATTGATGTATGGTTTGTTAGGATAGGACAATATTTGGTCGAGATACAACTATTTGAATATCTGCAATCTGAGGTTCCAAAAAAATCTAAATATTGAGAAAATCGCCTTTAAAGTTGTCCAAATGAAGTTCTTAGCAATGCATATTACTAATCAAAAGTTAAGTTTTGATATATAATTACGGTAGGAAATTTACAAAATATCTTCATGGAACATGATCTTTACTTAATATCCTAATGATTTTTGGCATAAAAGAAAAATCTATCATTTTGACCCATGCAATGTATTTTTGGCTATTGCGACAAATATACCCCAGCGACTTACGGGTTACATATAGTATATATTGTATACATACTGTATGTATGCGGAAAAAGTTGAACATACTTATAAATCCAACCTTATATAAAGATCTGTGCGATAATATAGTTTATATTAACAAAAGTTGAGATGCACTGTCATTGTATGTCATTATATTATTTGATTGATTGATTTGCATTTATGAGCGGATATGTTTATATGATGTAATAATTTGTGAATATTTCTCTGTCAGACGACGGTGAGTCCGCTGGAGAACGCCATCGAGACGATGGGACAAACCAATGAGAAAATCCTCACCATGATCAACCAGTACCAGTGTGATGACACTTTACCCATAAACCCCCTCTCCATGCTGCTCAACGGCATCGTGGATCCCGCCGTCATGGGCGGCTTCGCCAAATACGAGAAGGTCAGAGAGACACGGTAAGAAAACAGAGAGAAGCGCTGAGAATAGATGCTGATGTGTGTGTCTTTCTCCAGGCGTTCTTCACGGATGAATACATGAACGAACATCCTGATGACAGAGACAAACTCACGAGACTCAAAGACCTCATCGCATGGCAGGTCAGAAACATCGGACCATTTGTTTGTGGCATTGCTGCTAGAAAACTTGTCGAGTCGTGTCTGGTTAGGACAGACAGTTAACTTTAGTTTGTCTCCTGTAGATCCCGTTGTTGGGCAGAGGAATCAGTCTGCATGGAAAAAGGGTGACTGATGACCTTCGACCTTTCCATGAACGCATGGAGGAGTGTTTCAAACAGCTGAAGAAGAAGGTGGAGAAGGAGTACGGAGTGAGAGAGCTGGTAAGGATGAAAGTCAGAAAGCAGAAAGAGAAAGAAGGAAGTGGGAGGAAAATGAGTCAGCAGTCTGCATCCTGATTTTTTTCCTCTTTTGTAGCCGGATATGGATGAGAGACGATCCACTCGGCCACGCTCTATGCTGCGCTCGGTTCGACAGTCTATCTGCTCATTGGCTGGATCCGAATGTGGAACGCCCACTAAGACACACCCAGAGAGGTGACCACGCCCACATGTGTATATCTATAACATGCTATGATTATTCCTGCAGTTTATGTGATGATATGGATGCTGTGCACAGTATGATGATTTTCTGTATGCAAAGTGTCAACAGTTTTTGACAACTGCATGGATTTTTTAAATTATTATTTATGTTGTTTTATTTTACAATATTTTATAGAAATATATGAACGACAATATTTGTTTAAATATTTATTTTAATTATTGTATTAATATTTGTTACTAATATATGGTTTTATTCATATTTATAAACACATTTAGTTTTATTATTTTTTGTGTCATTTATATTTTAATTATTTTATTAATATTTGCAATTGATATACAGTTGTATTTGTTATTAATATTGTTTTAATGTTGACATTTTAATAATTTTATTATTTGTTATTAATATATTGGTTTGTTTTTATTATTTGTTTTCATCTTTATATTTCAATAATTGTATTATTATTTATTATTAACACATTGTTTTATTATTTGATTAATATTTGTTTTATTTCTGAGATGATGCTAAATCTAAATATTCAGAGTGGCAAGGTCATGTGACGACAATGTAGCATAATACTGTTTGAATTGTTTATCATTGCATAATGTGTTCTGTTTCACATAATATTTTTAAAAAGTAGTAGGTAGTATACAGTGTGTACTGTATTCCAAACATAACCCGTGTCTCTGTGTCTGTCTGTAGCATATCTCTGGACAGTGGTGTTCCTCCCTCTCCGTCCATCATCCCTCGTTCCAGTGGAAGTGTCAGTGTGATGGATGAGAGTGGTGTTGAAGTGGAGGTGAGGATGATGAAGATGTTGCTGTGACATATTTCGTCTAATCACCAAAATGGACCAATGATTGCAGCTCTCCATGATGACATAGTCATGCTCAGGTGACTCTTTCTGTTCTTCCAGGTGAAACTGAGGAAATCCAAGAAGAAGAAGAAACCCGGTCGTGGCAGTATGATCTTCATCAGTGAGGAGAAAGAGCGGAGCAGCACCCTCGACAAACGGGTGAGACAAAGACAATACAGGATAGATGTTACTGTATGTTGGGTGAAAATACATAAATATAGAAATAAATCAATATCTGCAGAAAAAATCAATACATCTAAGAATAAATGCAGAAGTAAAATAACAATAAATTATTGTGTAAGTGAATAGCTGATACAAAATACAGTACTTGACCCGCCCTGTGGTGCGATATAATACTCCATTTAAAATGGTATTAAATAGCATTTTACTATTTTATAATGCAGTGTTTATGAGCTCATATTAATTGAAACACTACATGGACTATTTGTACTTTAAAAGTTGATGTATCACACCGCAGGACCAATTAAAATGAAGTAGTGAAGGCAAAATGGTGATTAAAAATAGAAGAAAAATATTTTTTAAATGATGATCAGTTACAGCACGTAAAATATACAAATTCATGCAAATTTTAATCAAATATCTTAATGTTGCAATTATATTATTGTATTATTTAATAAAAACGATTCAGACACATTGAAACACATTTACTCCATAAGTCAATTAATGTATTATTTTTGTAGGTTTATTAACCTGTTTGTGTTTTTATTCCGTAGTGATTGTAATGATACGATAATGATCTTTACTCTCTGTCTCTCTCTAGCTTTCCAAGAAGCAGGAGTTTCGCAGTGACACGAATCTGTCAGAGCCGAGTGAGAGCAGCAGCGGCGGCCTCGTCAACTCCAGATCTCTGCCCACTATTACAGGTACAACATAGGGTTGGGCGATGTCTGCAAAATAGGCATCGGACGATGTCTACAGTGAAACATCGCGATGGACGAAGACATCGGCGGGGGGGGGGGGGTGGGGGGGTGGAGTTAGGGGTGCCTGACGCGTGAATCCTTATAAGGGAAAACACGATTCCTAACACCGTATCTACACCGGACGCGAGCGGCGCGACAAAATACTATAGAACCACTGATCTAATAGAGATTTATTATATATAGATCAGTCTATAGAACTCATTATAATCAGTGATGCTGTCTACACTGGATGCCGGCTCAACATCGTGATGTTTATCAGCCATCCGCCCAACCCTAGTACAACATTCACAAACGCTTGATTCATATCATAGTGGTTTCTCGTATTGATTTCTGTTGTTTTTAATTTTAGCAAATTAAATGTATTTTGTATGTTTAGTAACCCTAAACTTTTGCCATTTATTAATGTGGGGAAAAACTGTATCTTTATGAAGCCTGTATCTTTATGACTTCCTGTTTTGTGGATAGCACAATTCTCTACAACAAAACAGGAAGTAGTCCATATCAACAGACAGCTAATTTCCCACACTGTCCTCAGGTCTGTCTCTGTCAGTAGCCAATGGGAGTGAGGAGGTGGAGTCAGCGCGATCTAAGCGTGACAGTAAAAGCGTTTCAATGTGTTTGCCATCTGACCGCACCGGTGACCGTCGCTCCAAAGGAGTCATAAACCTGCTCTTTAAATCCAAGGTAACACACTCGACAGAGATTTAACAAACCACAACCACTGTGAATTCTGGGATAAAACACTTTGAACTGCTACTGTGACTGATTTACTATCGCCTCAAGTACTTCATTATGCGTCCTGATCTGAAATATTGTAGTTTCCTATCATGCACCACATGTACATTATATACTTTATATCATTACCTTTTTTCAAGTGTGAATATGTGTGTGTTTTCCAGCTAAGCTCCAAACCTGATGATGCAAAAACATCTTCTGAACCGTCTGATGGTGCATCCACTCGTTTTTAATTCTGTCTCTGTATTTAGTTTTTTTCAAGTATTTTGGCTGTTCATTTTTCTACCACTCTTAACTTGAATCTGTTACAAACAGAACTGATAAAGCTCTTAAAGGCTGATCGTAACAGAGCTGTGCCTTGATTTCATTGAATGTGTTTGAAAACAAACTCTAATGAAATTAAGTCAGTGTTTTAAACAGTGTATCGTTTGTCCCAGGAATAAACTCATTTACAATCATGACATTTTATCCTTATTATAAATACATACACATAGGCTGTAGACATCATTCAGTATTTTTTATTCATGTCATGTTAAATTCAGTCTTGTTTATCTATTTGAGGTTGAGTAGATGATCTAAACTAGTGATTACGAAACACCCCTTCGGCGATTTAGAAAGTTCACAAATTGTATTGGTGTAACAAGAGAACAAGAAGCATAAACAATTACATGCGGTTATGATTCAAGCCTAAATTATTTGAAAGTCATCACAGCATATTACAAATAATCACATGTATGAGTACTTGATATAAACACAGCTGAGAAAAATTCCTAATTAAGAATATTCAAAGACATCAGGTATATTTAATTACATGAACTAATTTTTGTTCATCAGAATGAATCAAATCCAATTTTGTTTACATGAACTAATTTTTGTTCATCAGAATGAATCAAATCCAATTTTGTTTATATGAACCGTAAACATTGCAATTCGATTCACATATTCATTTCCATTGCATTACGTGTATTCTGAACAAAACTTCAGCACATGCATAGGATTGATTGAAGTGTTTACATGAAGGCCGATTGAGCTTTTGAAATTTTAAATCGATTATTTGGTTGTCTGTAAATGTAGCTGGTGTTGCAGATGAAAGCTGTGAACAGATGTTATGAAAAGGGTTTGAAGAAGTCAATATTTAATTTTTTCATCATCAGTCTGTCACTAACATACAGCCCACAGAGATGCATTCAGTTCGGTTTGTCAGTTTGCCGGTAGATTCGGGATGATTTTTTTTACATGATTTTTGGCTGTTGTCACATATGCCACATTTTTGATACTGTGTGTCAAGTTAAAAACTCTTGAACTTCACACCTCACGACGTGTGTATTTGGCTGCACTCTTTCTTGATGCTTTTGAATGCCAGAACATGTCCTGTGTGAACTGTGATGATTAATGTTACTGTGTGTGTGTGTGTGTGTGTGTGTGTGTGTGTTTGCGAGTTCAGATTCATTTACATTTTAGGAGCCATTTTTTTCCAATGGACATAAATCAAGCGTAGCGTTAGTTCTGGCAGGTCATGTTAGTCAAGCTCGCATCAGCTGACTCTCAGCTGATCCCCATCAACCTATGGGAATACAACACCTATCTAAGCATTCATATATAAGGTCCCTCAATATTATCAGCAGTTTTCGCATTGCTCAATAGCTAATTACCCTCCTCCATCCCCAACTCCTCCTCTGTCAGTCAGGATTCAGCCTTCTGATTCTCCTTTGAATCAGACTAATTCTAAAATGTGTGCATACAATTATTGAACTTTAAGAATATCTGCAATACATTTATGTTGGTTCTGTTCTGTTTACCCTGGGGGGTTATTGCTGCTCTTCTTGCTCTCATCCATGCTAGGCTGCATGGATGCACAGGGAGTTCTTGCCCAGAACAGAACCATACCGCCAATCCAAACTGTATGCTAATTGTCAATCATATTTGACGATAGTGGTCCTGACAGAAGTTGCATTTAAGGCATACTTCATTCACCCATTACACAATCTCACATGGGAACTTCTACACAGTGCTTGTTTCATTGGGCCAATCAACTCAGCTTCTCTCAGGTGATAATCTCCTCTGAGCGTCTCTATTTCTGCTCATCTCAAACGGCTCTGGTGATGTTATCTGGAGAAAGAGAGAGAGTGTGTGCAAAGAACTTGCCATCCCTAAATAAGTTAATATATAATGCAGGTGATCTGGTCAAATCATCTAAAACTAGATTCATACCATCAGTGAATTACAAAAATTACAAGATCAATTTAAGGTAAACAGAACAGCAAATTTCAAAATGATTACCTGCAGGAGAGACTGTTGTCAGGACATTAGCATCATTGCTACATATCATGACTTTTTCTTCATAATGAAAGTTGAATGGTAAGTCAGCTGATTGTCTAGATAAATACAAAACTAATCTTAAGTTTAAAACTTTTAAACAGTTTAAAAGCACTAAAAATTATTTTCTTGCAGTTCTAAATAAAACAGATTATTGGAGCATGTTTTACGAGAAAATACTACTTCTGTCTCCATCTGTTTCTTTGTAATTATTTTTAAAATTTAGAATCAGAATCAGCAATTCCTGAGTGAAACTGTCAAAGTAAATCCTACAACAATTTTGTTTCCGTGTAAGAATGTTTTTACTTTATATAAAACCTAAATAATATTTTGTCAATCAGTTAATGTTAAATAAAACATACTGTGAAATTAAATATTATAGAGTGTTAAAACTGATGAAAATGGTGGAAAAATCTTACATAGTCTCTCTCTCTCCAGGGATGGTTGAACTTCGCTTTCTTTTAGATGCTCTACCTGGAGGATTCTGGAGATAATGTGAATCCAGATAACATGAGTTTATTAAAACATCATAGAAAGCCTTTATATACTGTATGTGTCAATTGGAAAAACAGACCTTTTGATCAGACCCACGTCTCAAATAAGATCAGCGGTTCTTCATTTTGCACAAGACATTGTATTTGTTTTGACTCTCTATAACCTTTAATGGCATTTCAATTGCTGTTACTGTTTGTGGGATTTTTGGTGTAATTCTTAGGTCTGTTTATGGGCTTTTAATGGAAAATGGAAATGGACCAGTGAAGAGTCTGAAGAACTCTAGCTCGCTTTGCCTCTGCAGTAAATGTCCTCTTACGACAGTGAGACATAAGACAGTGTTTGTTTGCTATAAATGACTAATCAATAACTGCATGTGCATTGCTAGACCTACGATTCAGATGTTATCAAATTACAAAAAAATGAAACGAAATGAAAGGGGTTTAGCATTCTGAATGGGAAGCACATCACTTGACATTGACTTCACAACTGGCAGACATTGTGGTTATGACTTCTGTTATTGAAATAGATACAATCACAAGACACTAGGAAACATCTCACCCTACTAATTCCTGAAAAGGACTGCTTCATTGCTTTAGTACTGAAGGCTGGTGAGTCCTAAAAGGAAGGGAAACTTATGAGAATCAATGGCAGCTGAGCATTAAACAGGCTGAGAGTGACCAAAGGTTAAACAGGTAAAGAGCATGCTATCAGGTGACGGGCATGTTGTCACACGTTGGACGGTTTTCACAATGGATATTAATCTCTTTTTTGTTTCAGCTAAATTTTAACCATAAAACAAGTATAAAAAAGGTCAAATGTAACATACAAACACATCACCGCATTGTAAGAAAAAAAGAGACTGAAAATCAATAAATGATTAAATTAAAACCACGTAAAAGCATGACCACTTTCGTCTTGAGAACAGTACAACATTTCCGTCCAAATCCATCATTATACTTAGAGTGGCTCCTGCCAGTGTAGTTTTAATGTGCTCTTTTTTTCACAGATGTTTTCCTAATTAGAATAGTTTTCAAACCGCTGCTAGTATTTGTGTATTTGGACTTTTGACTCAAAACCTGGTTATTGCTAAATTATAGACCCTAATGATAACTAATCCCAGTCTCCCCTACGACAATTGTCTATTAAGGCAAAAATGTTGTATTTTCATGTTTTGGTAAATTTTGCTTTCATATCTTGTCTCATTTCAGACTAGTGTAAAAGAAGACATCAATATACACATTTAAGCTTTTTTATTACACTTTATCTATTTTTGTCTTTAGATTTCAATTAAAATGCATATCTTTAAACTCCATTTTCTCAAAATGAGTTTTTTTCCCTCCATTTCAGCAGCACTTACAGCAAACTTTACAGTTTCATATTCTGAAGGCTTTTTACAGAGGGGTTTGTTCATAAATCATTAATCTGATTTTATACAATATTTTATCCCCAAAACATTTTTCTTCAAGTTATTAACAGTATTTTCTGATTTATGGTGTGATTTTATTCCTGAAAACATGGTAAACTTTTTTTTTTCAGGTTATTAACAGTATTTTCTGATTTATGGAGTGATAAAAAGATCAAATCCATCTGTAAAAACCTTTAACTGTCATCAAAATGAAACAAGAATTTGAACTTGGCTATGCAATAAAAAGTAAATAAATAATACAAGTATTCTATACATGTCTCAATATAATATAGGCTCAATGATACATGTGCAACAACATCTACAACATCATTTGTTTTTTACATACCTGCAGAGATGAAGCTTGTGAATGCAGTGGAGAAGGAAACAAGCAACAAGTGAAGGTTGTGTGTCAGATCCTGCTGAATAAAGTTTCTCTGAAAATATTTCACTTCCTGTTTGCTGACATGACTAAACTACAACTTGTATAAAAACTTGAAAGCATTAAGATTCATTTATTTTCATCTGAATAACTGTATGTTTACAATACTCTATCTATCTATCTATCTATCTATCTATCTATCTATCTATCTATCTATCTCCGACTGATGTTTTTGTGGTTATCAGTCAGCAGTAATCTTTTTGAATGAATGTGAATTAAAAATACATTTTAAAAAAAGTGATGTGACGTGTGGATGAGTATGGTGTCCCAATTTGTGCTCTGCATTTAACCCATCCAAGTGCACACACACACACACACACACCCGGACCACTTTGGGTTAAACAAGTCCGACTTTCTAGCCATTAGGCCACGACTGCTATTCTCAAATGCAGCTATTATCAATGCTTTCCTCAGATTTTTGGTGAATCATATGATATCCATCAAAGGACTGTTGTTGAACTGGTTTGTGACTCTATAAAAGATATTGTTCTTCAGCAAATGAATAATCATGTGATGATCTGTTTAGTCTAAATGTTTAAAAGGTAAATCATTTTAGTTGGCTTTTTTTAAGTTCTTATCCATGATCAAGTTGTATGATAATACTGTACATATGATAATATTAGAATTTTTAAATTTAAATCATGATTTCCAGGTCCAACAAAGTAGGCTAATTGTTTGAAATATCTGACCAGATAAATGAACTGCTTAAACAGGGCGTTACCCCACCACTTTCGTTACATTTTACTCATCAGAATCCAGCTATAGAGTATAATTCACTATAGTTTTACCACCAACAAAAGCTACATTTGTCTGTTTGCTGCAGAAAATAAGACCTGAATGTTTGTCCTCTGACCTGTGAAAGATAAGATTTCACATTTACTGACTTACAATTTTTAAGAAATTATTTGAGCAACCTGAGAATCCGTTTGAACTTTGTAAGTTTAAAGTACTTTCAGTTAATAGCAATGCTGCTGGACAGATGGAGTAAAACCACCAAAAGTGCAGATCTGTGGTCATGAGTCATGACAGTACTGTTTGCATTCAGTTCCTCACTCTGAAGTACACTCTGAAGTAGGTTTAGAGCAAAACCTGAACAGGACATGATGTGTGGTTCCACATGACCATGAAACTTTCAGTTAATAGCAATGCTGCTGGACAGATGGAGTAAAACCACCAAAAGTGCAGATCTGTGGTCATGAGTCATGACAGTACTGTTTGCATTCAGTTCCTCACTCTGAAGTACACTCTGAAGTAGGTTTAGAGCAAAACCTGAACAGGACATGATGTGTGGTTCCACATGACCATGACAGCCTTTCAGGTTTCATTTATATTCTGAAATGTTTTACAGAGGGGTTGTTCATAAAGCATTAATCTGATTTTATACAACATTTTATTCCTAAAAACATGGTGAACTTTTTCCCCCCAGGTTGTTTCAACTGTTTTCGATCTAATGGATATGAGCAATAACAATAGCACATACTGTCCTGCAGAGGGCAGTTTTGATCTATTTCAGTTATTCTCAAGCATTCACTCTTACCCACCTTTATTTTCTTCAAATAATTGTCACTTTGAATAGTTTTTTGCTTCAGGGTTTATGTTATTTTAGAATTATTGGTTGTCCTCATTAACTTGTTCATGTTGTTAACGAATGCATTTCCATTCATTTTCAAGGTCACTGAAAACTACCTCTTTAAATCATAGTTTAAACGCACTGAGAGACTAGCGATGTGCCTTGTCTTGTAATACATGTTAAAACGACTGAAAGTATCACAGCTTTCAAGAAATGGCCGAAAACTTTAAAAAAAAATGTGTCTGCTAAAATGACTAAATCTGACAAAGCCTCATTATAAAAACAATGTGTGTATTTTTATGGCTTGGGTTATTTCAATCTTCAGTTTAAAAGTACTTTAATGGCACGATTGTGTTTATAGCTATACCATATTTATATATTAATATACAATAGTCTATTGTATCATTGAGATAAAGTTATAGAAGCCTAATATTAATATTTTCAGTTATTCTGTTTTATTTCAATTAAAGTTTATTATTATTATTAAAATGGTTTTAGTTTTTATTTACTATAATGACCCTGGTCTATAATTCACATAATTATAACTTTCTTTACACACACATGATTTGTAAAAATCGGATTTCATGTGATTTTTTTTTTTTATAATTTTTTTCAGACTTGCTAAATATGATTGGATTCCAATGCACAAAAATCAGATTTGGACTGACAGTCTGAACAAGGCTTTAGGCTCAGAAGAAAAATAACAAGCTTAAATAGAATATCAGTATGTTGGCTTTCTCTTGGCAACATAATAATAACTTAAATTATTACATCAACTTTACACAGTTTTGCTGCTGTTTTATGTCTGATGATCATGTTCGATTACATGTGGAAGCATCTGTTGTTTTGGTTTCTTCACTTTTTTCTTCAGGAAATTCTGTACAGAAGATGTGTATTAGCGCCCCCTACAGTATAACAATGAAAACACGGATTCTAGGAGCACAATTATAGCTAAAATGTATTTAGACTTTTTCTAAGTCAAGTATACTTAAATGTCATTTTAAGTATATTTCTGAGAAGTACATAAAGCCCATTTCTGAGAAGTACATAAAAAGTAGACTAAATGTAGAAGTATACTAATAGCACACTTGAATAAACTTCTTTTTCTTAAGGAGTATTTCATTTTAAATCTCATTTGGGGTCAGTGATCCAATTTACAGTGGGGTTTGTCAGTCCATCAGAGGTCGAATCATCTTCATCTCATTCATCCCATACAAAAATAATATATATTGCAGATGATCTGATCATTAAAGCAAGCTATATGATCAGTTTTTTCCCCATGTCTTCTTGAAAACAACTTTAAGAGTATAAATTACTTTATCTGTTTATTTTAATTTCTTAAAGTGAGTTATAAAAATTAGTTGAACTTAATAAATCAGAAGAAATCTGAGATTTTGGAGCTTAATACCTGCAGGGGCGACTGGGATCAGAAGACCATCTTCCTTGATGATTCACCCTCGTGTTCTAAACCTGTACGACTCATTTCCACGGAAGACAAAAAGTCTCATTTTAAAGTTATGAAATGGAAAATCAAAATGTCCTTGATATTTAAACATAAGAGGTTCCCATTCAGTCAGTCACGTTCTACGTTACGTCAGTGACTGACGAATTGGGATCTCGCCCGAGAGCCCAATCA